CTAGTATTGCCAAAAGTAGTTTATTGAGTACTACTCATTATGTTATATTATATTATATTATTATGTTGTTATTTATCACATTTTTTTCCTGATCTCGGTTAGTTCTTGGTTTATATTATATATATATATATATTTTTATCATATTGTGCTATCTTACCGTACCACATATCTTAGAAACTCTTGAGAGGTGTCTAGTATTGCCAAAAGTAGTTTATTGAGTACATGAACGTTTTCGTGTACTCCAGCTCATGTCACTCATCTTACGTCCGCATTATATTTATATATTCTTGTTATTATTTATATCTGTACGTATACCTGATAAAGGGCGATGCCCGAAAACATTCGTGTACTCAATAAACTACTTTTGGCAATACTAGACACCTCTCAAGAGTTTTTATTTACAGTATATTTATATGTTTGCCGATGCCGATATTTTATATATATATAATATGTATATCCATTTACATTTATAAAACTACATTAAATATTTATCAATTTTTATGTGCATAAAAATAACGTCTCGAATGTTGTAGAAATAAGCATGTAATTATTCTTAAGTATGACCATTCCAGTTTGTAACATTGAGTCAAAGTAAACAATATGACTATTTTAATTTATTTAAGGAAACTGTGTTTTCACAATAGATGTGTGTGGACTAACATTCTGACTACAGATCCAAGAAAATGTTCAAATTAATCAAGTTGTAAGCATTTACGTGGCTTGAGATTTATTCATGTTTTGTCCTGCAAGCTGTGACTGGAATGTTTGTTCCAATCCATTGTTGTATTTTTGAATAAAAAATGATGAGGAAAAAAAAGCTGAAAGTCCAAAGTGCTACTTTCAAGAATTCAATAAATTGAAGAAAAAAAAGGATTCTCTTTTATGGTTTGTTTTTTCTATATATTTTATTGTATATAATGTTTTTGAATGTGAATAAAAAAAAAACTATTGGGCATTATTTATCTGCGTATCTTTCACCCATTTCATGTTTCTCTTTGGATATCCTCATAGCTTCCTGATAATTAATTTAACAAACTGTTTGTTTTGCTGTCTATAACTCAAATTTACCTATCGTTATGGAAACTACTGTATAAACAATGGCATTCTACCAGCTAAATAATTTAAAGCTATAATTACTCTCTGGTATTAGTACGTTAACTGCATAAACCTCTCAGTACAGATGTGTGTGTGTCTGTATTTAGCTAAAAACTCCAAGAATAAATTTCAATATAAATTGTTTACTTTTTAAGGCTAGACTTTTTTTAAACCTTGTTTGGCTAACTTTATAGAAAAGCAACAAGGGTGGGGAAAAAAAATAAAATTTCATTTTCTTATTTAGCAAAATGGTGCTACAAAAATAAAAGATTTATTAACCAATAAAAAGGTGTGTAAAAATTGTGAGTATTCTTTGGCCCTTAAACCTTGTTTAGCTTACTTTATAGAAAAAGCATTAAGGGTGGAAAAAATAAATAAAATTTCATTTACTTATTTAGCAAAATGTGCTACAAAAATAAAAGATTTTTTAACCAAAAAAAAAAGTGCGTAAAAATTACGAGTACCTTTTGGACCTTACTCGAGATTGTTTACATTGTCAAATACTTAATTCTGAGGAAAGATTAACATCTTTATATGATATCATCGCAGTGCGGGGCAGGATAAAAATAATGAAAATTTTGTATTTTTCTCTGAAATTTCGAGACTTTTATGGAAGCAGGTGCATGTTACAGCAAGCTAAAAATAAATTATTTCTATACAAATACCAAAAAAAAAAAACCACTCAAAAATAAAAACAGATAAATGATTAATATACTGTAGTGGAGAAGCATTCAATCTTTACAGTTTATAACAACAGATTAGTGAGTGAATAGCAGAAATTTAAGGGGTTATGAATACATCTTTTGCTATAGATCTATTAAATAACAAGAGAACAAAAGATAAATATATATACTGTGGCTGGATGATTCTGGATATATTTATAGACCTGCTATTACATCATATTAGCAGTGAGCATACAACCCTGACATATATTTATTGGGAATAACAATGGTACTGTATAACTATAAAAGATGTGTTCAAAGAAGGTTTTGTTTTCAATATTTATCTTGTGTATTATGCATCTATAGGGAAGTGTACATATCTCTGCATTCACAATAGTGTAAATATTTGAGTAGGCCTATGATTAATAATTATTCAAATTTATATTTTACTGTATATGGTTCCATTTTTATATACACCAAACCACCATAATTACAATGGTTGTGTAAAATATAGCCAGTCGCTTTTTTTAAGATACTGCCCAACAGGGGATCTGAAAATTTCCCACAGAGACCAACAGGATGTAGGGGAAAAGTCTTGGTGACTATGGGGCTTAGCTTGTCCGTTAAGACCTTAAGCCAAATTCCCTGTTGGTATCATGACTGCTAATGGGGAGGGGGGCCCTTAAGCCTCAATTCCAACATGATGGCATGTATTTATACTTCAACACACATTATGTAGTAAAATGTATGTAAATTATTGAATATTGAATTGTTTTGACTCACTGAATATTTTAATTGAATGAATGAGGTTTTCCTGTTTTATTAAAGAGTTTGTCTTCTTAACATACTTGATGTATTAATTTTGAAAAATAATGCCCTGCTGTATTCAATTTCAAATGGTCTTCGCTTTGATGTCACCACAGCCATTAAGAGCGCACACGTCTTTTACGATTTTGTTAATTCATGTTCTAGTCTGTACAGCACTACACTCAAGGACACACAATTACGGACATAAAAGCGATGCATAGATGCCCAACATTTCAAACCACTCATGATGATGTAATGCCTACTTTATTGAAAAGCATCGTCCTTGCTACAAACTGCATGCCCACAGCCTTTGTCCATTTTAATAACTTTGAAATTGCAGCTGATTAACTATCTTTATAATTTATGTTTCTCCCAATGTCATTATTACTATATTATATAATTATCCATATAGGTGTACTTGACCATTAAAATATAAATGCACAAAACAACACATACTTCATTTCCTTATTTTTAATTTTTTTTTAAAATTTACAACAGTAAAACATGAGGAAACTGAGAACTAGACTGAAGTTCAGCCCACACTATCAAATTTTATGTGATAAATTTGTGTCCAAATATGGGCATTATGGTGTCATATTACACCCAAAAATGGGCATATCAATTTTATTTGTCATACTGTATAAAAACTGAGCGTTACAATATCTGAGGACAGTATTCAATTATAAATCAAAAGATGGATCCAACATGTAGAATAAACATATAGCATGTAGATATTAAAAAATTAGTGTATCAAATCGAATGGCAAGAAATAGAGACACCAGAATGATTCCATTTTATCAGGCATATTTGAATGATGACTTACTAAACTTACAATATGTACCATAAATGTTCCAAACTGAATAGCAGCAGATACAATTTTTGGGGAGGCTTCTGATACAATTTTTGGGGAGGCTTCTGTGCGGCACTTATTTGGGAACCGCATATTATTGTGCTACTTGCATACTTAACGTCATTTATATAGCGCTATTATACTTAACGTCATTTATATAGCGCTATTATACTTAACGTCATTTATATAGCGCTATTATACGAAGATCAGAGCGCTCAAAGCTCTAAAATGCTAGAATGCAAAAATTAAAAAATGCTGAAATGGTAACATGTATTGTGATAAGCCTTTCTGATATTGCAACATTACAAAACATCTACCACTTTAGGAATGCGCTATTGATTAAACAGAGCGATTATTTTTTAAAAATTAAAAACATCTGTAATCAGAGTTTATTCGATAGCGAAAAAAAAAAATGTCTGTTGCAGCACTTATTCGATGGAGGTGCTTTATAGAACATTTATGGTAAACAACTATTCAGTCAATATACATGATCTGTGCAATTTTCAACTTTGCAAATTTGTATTTAAATGTCTATTGTATTCCAAATGTCTATTTTTAACTATATTACCTTGTGGTTGTTTATACAGTAATTTAAGTACAGTATTATTCAATTCAATTCAATTCAATTCAATTTATTCAAAATATACCCCCACCAAGAAGAAGAGAAATACAAAAAGTACAAAATACATAAAAAGTTCACAATTAAAATTGAATTCAATAGAGTAAATACACATCCAGAATTAAGCATTAAGTACAGTAATAATGGTGTTTTACTATAAATCTTCAATGTTACTGTACCTGTCAAGTACTTTCAGACTTTTCAAGTGCTGTACAACTTCCGTATTTAGGCCCAGTTGCTAAGGAAATTTTGCCTAATTACACAGAAATTTATCATAGGAAATTCATCATTTACCCATAAATAAATAGGTCTGAAGTCCAGAACAAATTAATTTTTTATCATGATCTTTGGTTACATTGTCCCCAGAAAACTCATATTTGTCAGATTACTGATAAATTAAATTGTGAAACCTTTGTAAGAGTTCATCCTGTCTCATTTGTTTGAAATTCCACATCAAATTACAGACAATAAGGCCGAAAGACCATTGGACCCTTGGACGATTGGCCCCAACCCTTGGACGATTGGCCCCACTTTCAGGAAAATTTTCTTTACTATGGAAATCTGAAGACATAGTTCGGGAAATGCATTTTAAAAGCTTCAGAAATCTGCATTTTTATTTTTCAAACCTTGAAAAGCAAATTAAATTTATTTTGTATATGATAAACAATAAATCAAACTTGGATGCCATTTTCAAATACAACAAAAGAAACAATTTGTTTTATAACCTCTGCAGACTCACTATATCTCAGACAAGATGGATAAGCAGCATAATAATTAATCAAGGTTTTGTTCTACTTTCACATCAAGTACAGCCTAAGTATGGTTCACATTCAATTTTGTTAATAACTTCCTGTAAAAACACCTGCTGCATAGAAATACTCAAGCAATGTAAATTAAAAGTGTATTCGTATCACCATCACCATTACTCTCTAACAAATTATACTAACAATCATTAAATGATTTTGTATTTGGATCTATTGGGTGTGACAACCAATAAATTTTAAGACTTAATTTACGTTGGAATCCTCCTCAACCCCTCAACCTTTCCGAAGAATGTACCGTGTTCTTTACAGTAAGGTGCACATGAGCCATATTGCACACGGGACCAACGTTTTAAAGGTCTCTTAAGCCGGGCACTCGCTACGGCCGACGATCATGGGCCCGACGCGATTCTATGGAGAATGCAATGTCACAACGCGCACGCAACGGGTTCGTTATAATGACGATCCGTTCAGACTGCCACCGACAATCAGCAGACAGCATCGCATCATCTACCGTTCATAGGCAGCGGAGTTTGATTCGTCGTACGACGCATGAGTGCCCGGATTTACAGCTGAAATACAAGGAGAGCAGCGGATGGAATTGAACCAGGTACCAAAGGTTAATGACAAACCGCCAGGTTCAGCGCACACACAGCTGCCAACACCAGCTTAGCCAAATGAGTTATATTGTACTGCTCTATTAATGTTCGTGTAACCTTTCTATATATTCAAATAGTTTATCTGAGTTCTTCTCTCCAGCAAGAATCATTTGTTTCAAAGCAGTTGCTTGGTCAAGCATACTCCAGTAATCCTCCTTCCATGATATAAATCTATAAAGAAAAAATATATTCGATTAAAATGGAATGGATGATATGGAAGGATGGGTGAATGGATATGTGAATGACGGATGGATCAATGGATGGATGGGTGGATGGATGGATGAATCAATGGATAATTGGATGGATGGATAGGTGAATGGATGGGTGAATGGAATGGTGAATGGAAGGATGAATTGGATGAATGGATGGATGATTCGATGGATGGGTGGGTAGATGGATGGGTGAATAGATGGATGGATAAATGGATGAACAGATGGGTGGGTGGATGGATAGATGAATGGATGGATTGGTGAATCAATGGATGGGAGGGTGAATGAATGGATGGGTAAATGGATGGGTGGGTGAATGGATGGATGGATGGATGGATGAAGGAATGGATGGGTGGATGGATGAGTGAGTGAATGGATGGGTGAATGAATGAATAGGCAGATGGATGAATGGATGATTGGATGGGTGGGTAAATGAATGGATAGATGATTCAATAAATGGGTGGGTGGATGAATGGATGGGTGGGTGAATGGACGAATGGACAGACGGATGGATGGATGGATCGAAGGTTGGATGAATTGGATGGATAGATGGATGGATGAATTGGATTGTTGATAGTGATGACAAATGAATATATATGTATGGTAGATTTAACATACTTCCTACTAATACAAATATCACACTATTGACTGTTAATTAATACATTTTGTTTGTACTACATGAAACGCTAACAGTCTCAATGGCACCAACATGCTTATTCAATTGTTTACGTGCCTATAAATCATTTAGACTTCTTATGCATGACATGTACCACTATTATATAGGCATATTTTTAAATAAATATTATTATGCATTACATTGGCTACTGAACATGCTCATTTCAGAGCAGCAGACATGTGTTTCAAAGTGTTCCAGTTTCTGGATTAACATAGATAGAGGAAAAAGCTGTATTCAGCAATGTTTTAATAGTTAAGATTTCATCAACCAAATATTGCAGTAAAAAAGAATTATCAAGATGAAGACATCAACTTTGAGATCTCTTCCATGCAACCTTTTGGTAGAATTGGAGTGCGCATAGACTTTTTGTATCTTGCACTTACAAATTCAAACCATTAATGGTTGCAATTTGCAAATTTCTACTAAATAAATTGATAAAAAAAAAATTTTTTTTAATTGTATTATAAGATATTTTTTATCGCAGTTTACACTTGAGTTCATGTGTGAGATGGATTTGCACTACATTACTGACTAGTCAAAAGGCAAAAAACCCAGGATTTTTACATCTTTCAGAAGCTATCTGGATGAATACTGCACAGGCACATCCTACAATGATCTGCCACACTACAAATGCTACTGTATACTTAGACATACCCATCCTCGGTAATGACCTCGTCAAGCAGACCACCAAACGTGGAATCTGGTAGAGGGCAGCCCATGTGATTGTACTTGGCTGTTTTTGGATCCATTAGAGGAATATTGGGATCAAGAACATGTGCTTTTTCCACCTCAATTCTTTCCAGAAGTTTGTCACATACATAACACTCAAAACCAGTAATGAAATCAAATTGACCTGGTTCATTTACGCCCCATGGTCGATTTGATAAATGTTGAGACAGAAATTGATTTGTGATTCCATCATCTTTGTAACTTAAATATTGAGTGTACAAATCGTCGTTTTCATCCAGATTCTTAAGAAACTCTGCTAATGAAGCTGGATTGGAAAATTCATCTACTGAAATCAATGTCTGGTTGCTTGGCATCCATTTTGATGCTCTGCTGGACCCAAGATAGACTGGCACAGATCCAACGTGGATCGGTCTAAAGAGCTTCTCTGTCATGTAATCGTCGCAGATCGCATTCTCAAAAGCGATGTGAAATTTATACTGTGCTATATGTTTATGAAAATTATCATGGTTCATACTTTCTACGGGATCTTCCAAGCCTTCCTCAATCTTTTTATTATTTAAACATTTTCCAATTGAATCAATTTCGATATATTTCATTAATTCTTCCACATATCGATCTCTATATGAAGGGACGTCACAGTGGGACTGTACATACAAAACTGGGGCCAACCCACCTCTCCGCAATCTATTTTTCTCCGCAACTGGAACCGGACTCCTATCAAGTAAATATTCTTTGCTGATAATACTTTGCGAAGTCAGTGGATAGTCAGATTCTTCACGAAAGGTTGCTGTATGATTAAAAAGTTTAAGAGCTGGGAGATGAGACAGCAAGTAGTTATTTAATGGGGACTCTTCATGTAGTAAACACCATTCGTGCCAGGGTTTGCGGGGAAGGGGCATGTGATAGGCCCTTATATCAGTACCATAAAACATAACAGCTCGAGTCCTTTCATCATTTAGTAACTTTCTATTTCTGGTTGCTAAACACTGACTTTTTGGGCATTGTACAATAACACCCTCGTCTTTCTCTAAATGAGGAAATAAACTATCTGTCCACCACAGTATCACTGGAAGGATATCTCTCACGCTAGAAAACTTTGGAAACTTGTTTGGACCACTTGCACTGTCATCAACGATATTTTCAGCATCAAATGAGCAGACACATTTTATAGAAAGATGTAGTATGCACACAATAAATATCTGTGAAATATAAAAGCAAGACGACATGACAGAGACGTTTTTCATCCCCCTTGTTTATAAGGAAATTGGTCCACCCATTCCTTTCCGCCGACGATCTAGGTCCGTTGCCCTTTAAAAATGATGAACTTTGACCCAAACATTAGGATCAAAAAGAAAATGGCTGCCTCCGTGAAGTTCACACGGGTAATAAGACTTCCAATTCCATAGCTTTGTATTATTATATTTCCACCTCAGAACCTTTATTATTAGTTTAGTTATAGTTTCATTTTTACAAATATCTGCGCTAATCCTGCAAAATTAATATGATAGTCTGTTCAATCAGTAGGTATAGGCCTATATATAGGCCTAGGCTAGGCTAGCTTTTCTTTTCGAATCCCGATCGGTCCATTTATGCGTGTGCATGGCCCTGGGTTTCTGTGTGCATGCCTACTCTTTACTGTCGGCCTAGGCTAGGCCTAGTATAGATAGGCTAGGTCTTTAAGACCTAATAGGCATAGGCCTAGCTAAAAGAAAGAAGAGCTAGCGACGTAGGGCCTAGTTTTAGGCCTAGGTCTGCACTACTTATAATCGAAAACGTTAAGTTATGTTAAAGTAAATATTTATTAGTTTAGTTAGGAAGTCTTTCTTAAGCTACGTTCACATCAAGCCTGCAACTCAGTTATTTGGGTTAAGTGCGTATGTGTTCTATTGGATCGAACCAGACCAAGCTTGTTGCTGATTGGTCCAAGGAAAAAAAACGTATGATTTCACGATACAAATGGCTCTCAGATCCATCGGTCCGAATCCAGTGTCAAATTTGATGCGAACGGTCCTATTCTTTACCACTGAACCCATTTTTCACGATTTTTTGTTCAAGCATTGGACCAGAATCGGGCTTCGATGTAAACGTAACTTAACTCTTCCTTGCCATTGGTGTTACAAAACCTTTGAAGGAACATTTTCAGTTCTCATCAACACATTTTAATGACATGTAT